GGAAGCACTACAATCCCCAACTTGAAATTATACTACAAAGCTATTGTGATAAAATCAGCATGGTACTGTCAGAAAAACAGACCCAAGGATCTGTGGAACAGATTAGAAGATGTAAATACAACTACAAACACACTCAGCCATCTCATCTTTGACAAACAGGCCAAACATGTTCACTGGAAGACAGCTTCTTTAACAAAAGGTGCTAGAATTAGACCAGAGTCTATCATCATGCAGTAAACTAAAGAATGGGTTAAAGATCTACACATTAAAACAGAAACCCTAAATCTCCTGGCAGTGAGAGAGTAGGTGGAACTCTTGAAGACCCAGATGGCCTACACCATCTACGGAATTGCTGACTATGATGTACCACTTTTATGCAGTGTGGTACTACTCAGCCGCAAAGAAAAAGTGGAGCCTTTATATGTGAGCAGATGCAACTAGAGGCTATACTCACAAGGGAAATGTCAGACCCGCGTGTGTAAATATCATTGTTTCCCTGGTGTAAGAACCTGAAAGAATAAATAAAACCTGAAAGGTAGAATAGAGCAAAATGGAAACTGAACTTAAGGATTGAACAATGAACACAAGAGAAAGGAGCAAAGACACTAAAAAGGAAAGGGAAAAACATACAAGTATGTATGCAGGACTGCTGAGACAATCGTACTAATAATTTCCATCAGGCTTTGGAAAATAGCAGTTAATGTGTAGAATTTTCAACTTGACTAACTGTATGCTCATATCTGCGATCTGAGCAAGTACACCGAGGACAGCAATGTGTAATCCAAAACGCAGGGTTGAATACCTCTCATCTCCTTCTTCCAAATGTGTACTTTCTAGTGCCTTATCAATTATTATACTCTTTAAAATAATTTTTTAAAGACAAGGGAAAAATTAAGATTTCTTGAAAGCAAGCATTTTCAAATATTTGTCCAATTTTGACTATATCTTAATTTGAGCAACAGATTTGACAGATGAAAATAACCACTGTTAGCTATTCCTGTTTTTAAAAACCTGTAAAATGTGTTATGTTACCATTTGTCTTTTTTTCTATTTGTTTTTGCTTCAGTTTTTAATCTTCAAAATAAAATGCAATTTTAAAAAAGAAAAAAAAAATTCCCAGGACCATGCGCAGTACTTCATCCCAGTTTCCTGCCTAGCAGCTGTCAACTCTGCCTAGGGTCTCCTGGCAGGGTGGGTCACCCCCTTTCTCTTCGTCCTGATGACCTGGCAACACCTCATACCTCAGATGTAGAGCCAGTATGGCCTGCAAATCCAGAGGCTCCATCAACCGACCTCATCCCCAAAGCACCCCAAATCCTTTGGGGGCCCAGTGATGGTCCTTCTCTGGAAGTGGGGGTTACCACCTCCACCCTGTGGCCTCTAGTGCACTGAGAGGCTCTTCTCGTGCCCTGGACACAGCAGAAGTCGCCCCAGCAAGGACCCAGCCTGACCACGCTGAGAAAGCAGTGCTCGCGGGCCGCTCACCCTCGTGACTGTTTGAGCTCAGCACTGTGTCAAGTTGAGGAGCACAGCAAAGCAGGGGCTAGTGCTGGGGATCCAGATGGGGTGAGGGCTCCTCTGACGTGTGCAGGGGTGTAGGCAGGGTCCTCACTTCGCTGATCAAGAGAGGGAGGGATGTGGGCACCGCAAGGGCCAGGAAACCAACTGGGGCTGTCTGGCTTCTCTGGTCTGAGCTACCCTGCCACTCCCAGAGCCCACTCAGCCACGTCTGATGCTGTCCTTCCCACCGCCCTGCCCCTACGGGCATCCTCAAACCAGCCCAAGCCTGTTCTCCCCGGTGCCTGTAGGGGGGCACAGTAATGCAACACAGCCTAAGGGTGCAGTTAGCACCGCGTAAAATTAAGTCCTATTATGGATACCTTTATATAAAGGTCCGCTTTCTGTAATTAGGGATGTCAGCCACAGCCCTGCAGCCCCAGGCTGCCTGCCCGCGGCCCTGTGTACTTAAAGGCCAACCCGCTTATGTAAGAGCAGCGTTTTCCTGGTGGGCACACGGTCACGGGGTCTCCAGTGCAGCCCGCACACGCTGGAGTGGCAGGAGGGGGGCTCTGAGGGCCACACCGCAGCAGGGGGCGTGGGCGGGCGCTGCAGGTCTCTCCTGCAATGCGTGGGCCGCGAGGGCGCCAGTGCCCTGGTACCGTGAGCAGTGCTGCACACCCGGCAGCCGAAAGGCCGCCACTGACCCACACTCCCCACGCTGCTGCGCCGTTATCCTAGAGACGTGACCCTCACGGCCCTAGAGAAAGGGGCGCCAGGGGAGCGGCCGCGCCGTGAAGCCTTCAGGGGCCGACTTGCAGGAAGCTAAGCGAGACCCGCGCTCAGAGCCCTTCTCTGCCTGTTTCCAGGGAGTTGGGGCGCTTCCTCTATACTGGCACTTTTAATTCCACTCTAGTGAGGGAGACTACTTCAATTCAGTCTTGATTTGTTTCCTTCCTAGTAACGTAATGGGGGCGGGTGTAGTACAATAAAGATGGCCTAGAATACATTTTGAGTTTTCATATTTTGTAAACAATGCTGTCATTTGAAAGCACTATATAAAAGAAATTTTGAGACTCAAACGGAAGCCCCAGCCACCCTGTGGGCATGCAGCCCATGTCCACCTGGCTCTGCCCTTCAGAACCTGACCTCCCTTGGGCTGGGTCTCCATAATTCCCGTGGCCACTTGCAGGGAGGACAAGTATCCCGTGGAAGCCAGCTGCTCCCCACTCACCAGCCTGACCTACAGGGTTTGGGTTTGTGACCCATGACCTCGTAAGAGGGGGCTTCTTTTGCATCTCAGTGGGGCAATTGGGAGGATGTACAGCAGGTTATAAGAAACTGCTAACAGACGCACTGGCCTGCCTTTAGGTACCACAGTCACAGCAAGACACAGGAAGGGCCCAGGGGCCAATGTGTCCAACATCTTTCCTTGTAACTGAGTATGTGTATGAGTCTGTGTGTGCGTGCACGCCCACATGTGTGACTGTATAGGTGTAAGGTGTGTGAGGACCTGCCGGCACGAGTGTATATGAATGGGGGACAGTGTACAGTGAGTATGTGTGTGGATGGGTGTGAGACCTTGTGATCCCAAGTATACATGAATGGGTGAGTGTGAGCAGGCACACTTGACCCCAAGTTAGGCAGGGACAGAAGGCTGAAGGGTTGCCGGTGATTGTCCCACGCACACCCCAGGGCAGCAGGACCTGCAGCTGGCTCCTTCAGGGACACAGTCACCACACTGGTATGGTCTACCGGCGTGGATACTAGGCTCAGTGTGGTCCAGCACACCCAGCACCCAGAGGGGGAAACCACAGGGACAGGCACTGGCCCCAGGCCACCTGTGACCAGCTTCCAGCCTCATACCAACCCCTGCAGTCAATCCCTGGCCCATAATGGTGGCCCAAAGGGGGAGGGTCTGGCCCCCTCACACCACACCCCACACCAACAGCAGTGGGACCAGAGGAGCAGCGTCCAGAACTGGGCTCTCTGGAGGGGCGCCACAGAGAGGACAAAGAGACTTGGCATCTCAGAGGCCCCAGGGGAGGACGTTCTCTCCTGCGATCATGGGAGGTGGCCCAGCTCCCTGCCAGCTCCCCTGCTCTGCCCCAGCCATGTCCCAAGTGCATGGGGCTGCTCACTCGGCAGTGCAGAGCACCGCCACGGCCCTGAACAGTCATCAACCAGCCACAGCTCAAGATGCCCTGGTGCCCCATTGCCCTCGAGTTACTGGGACGGGCCAGTGAGGGGGTCCTGGGGTTCCTGTGGGGACGCTGGCCCCTCCAGCTCACTGCGATATGCCACCTCCACCCTAAGCTCGGCACACAGCCCAAGGTCTGTCCCCGGAACTGGACAATGGGCAGAGCCTGGCTTCTAGGCTGGTTGCCACTGGACACCCAGGCACCCTCGCATTGCTGTGCCCCCTCACTGAACCAGAGTCCCCACCAGAGGGCAGAGAACAGCGATGTCAGAGGGGATCCACAGTGGGGGCTTTGTGCAGGCATCAGTCGCTGCTGGCTCTGCCACCACCCCAGCACTGGGCCACCTGCACACCCAGAAGTCAACTTGGGTGCTCCTGACCCCCAGTCAAGAGCCACAGAGCCCTGACACATGGCCCAAGCCGCCAGCTCTATGGAGGAAGCCACACCCCAGCCCACCAGGGCTGCTGGCCTGTCACTATGTAGGTGACCAAGCCCAACAGCAAGCTCATGACCCACAAGCAGGCCCCACACACAGCCCACTGCTGGCCCAAGGTGCATGCTGTGACTCAGCTGAGGAAGTGATGCACCAGGGCCTGGTCCACCTCCCCGATAAACAGGCTCCACTGAGCAGTGGCCTGGGACAGGTCACCCAGGTCCTCGCCACAAGCAGAGTCTGGGGCAGCAACGGGATCACACTGTGGCACCTGCCCATGTCCCCACGTTGTCAGCTCAGATCTCGGCTGAATCTCGTCTTCCCTATGGCCTCTGGCAAACCACATTTTTTGTACCCCCATGTGTGTCCACCAGGTACAGCCACGTATCACAGCGCAGGTGCAGTACACGGGCAGGGCTCAGTCTCACGCAGGCTGCCTCTGTCCGTGGAGCCAGACACCAGTGCTGGCAACAAGTGGCCCAACCTGAGCCTTGCCTGGCTCACCCTAAGCGCCCCAACTGACCCCACTCGGAAAGGGACCTCGTGGATAGCCCTCACCCAGCCAGCCACGGACAGCGGCTCCTAGCACCACCCCGCCACCAGCCACATCAACTGGACAAGGATTCTTTCCTGGCTCCCTGGCAAACTCACACATCAACCCATGCAGGGCCAGGATCTGAACAGATGGCCTTTCAAAGGTCACTGGTTGGCCCAAGACACATGTCAAGTACCTAACGTTAACACGCTGCTAGCTGTGCCGACCCATGCCTGCAAAGCTGCTCAGGAGGCTGAGGCAAGCAGATAACAAATTTGAGGCCACCCTGGGCTATACAGCAAAACCACCTCAAAATAAAATAGCAAGCATGGCCTTGGGCTCAACTGCCAGTATTGCCAAAAAATGATCACACCAAAAAAGTGAACAAGTAACTGACACCAGGGGCAACCCCAGGCGTGCACGAGTCATTGTTTGCTGTCCAGTCACTGGAGCCACAGTGCTTGCCCTCAGGGCTAGGCCCAGCAGGCGGCCACTAAATGTGGCTCAGTGTGGACCCACAGCCACATTGCAGGGCATGCTTAGTTTCTTGGGTGGGACTAGAAAACCAGCTTGCAGGCTGGGAAGGCCTCGTCCTCCGTGAACACCATGCTGCCACTGCCCAGCACGCGGATGCCCAAGGCCTGGTGCTGCATGTGCGTCTCCTCATACCACCTGCGCATGGCCGCTGAGTCGAAGGTGGGAATCAGGGTCACCTGCGGACAGATAGGTGGATCAGGGCCTCGGCATGGCTCGAAGCTCAGGGTGTGGCAGCCTCTCCCAACCCAGCAGCCCCCAGCTCCACCCAGTACTCACATCTATACCCCAGGGGTCGCCCCGTCCTGGCTGGCAGCTCACACCTGCACAGCCCAACTCCAACCTGGCTGCCCCTCACTTGGGGAGCAGCTGCCCTGGAATATTAGCTGGGGTGAGGACCGTCACCATGCACCCCAGGTACTCATGGACCCCACATAGCTGCCCACCTGCAGGTCACAGTCCCACTGCCGCTTGGCGTCCAACAGCGCATCCAGCACAGTCCGCAGCCCCTGCTCTCGGTGTTGGTCCTGGCCACTGATGACGTAGCAAAGTGCACGGACGCGCAGGAAGAACTCCGGGCCCAGTGGGCCCGCGCTGCCCCCAGGCAGGTAAGCCAGGTCCAGGTAGACCGGGGGCCCTGGAGGGTAGGCGGCAGCCGCAGGCCGGCTGCTGACGGGGCCTGCAAGTGGAGTGGGAGAGTCACCAGTCAGAACCTGCGATCCCCTGCCACGGCCTCCCACAGTGCTAGGGTTTCAGGCATGTGCCACCCACCTGCCCACGGCCACCTCTTCTCCCTCCACACCACCTGGTATTGATAACCAGGTGCAGCATGGAGTGGAAAGAGACCCAGGCGAGGAAGAGCTGGACACCACAGGGAGGGCATCTGGCACAGGCAGCGGGGGCGGCTCCAGGGTGCCATGACACCACAGTCCCAGTGCGGTGTCCACCAGGCCCAGAAAGCACTGCACCACAGGTCATCGCAATCTAGGCAGTACTTCCCTAAAGGCCACAGGCGGAAGCTACCACAAGCCCACCATAAACAGAGGGACACACAGCCAAACCCTCCCACCACCAGACAGTGACTCAGCCTCAGACAGGAAGGGAGCTCGAGTGGCCACAGAAACAGAAAGCAGGGTGCTGGGACTGGGGATGGGACATGAGCGGGGACTCGGTGGAGGCAGTTTCAGCGGTGTCACTGGGGTTCTGCAGGCAGCTGTTAGTGACAGCCTGTGAGCACTGCCCAATCAAACACTGGAAAATGGTTTCCAGAGCCTGGCATGGTGGCACAAGCCTATCCTACCAACACTTGGGAGGCTGACACAGGAGGATCACTTTAAGTTCCTGAACTGCATGGTGAGTCTTTATGTCTCAGAAAAATAAAAACAAGGGATCAGGGAGATAGCTCAGTAGAATAAGCGCTTGCCTGGCAAGCACAAGGTCCTGAGTTCAATCCCCGGTATCACAAAAAATAAAAACAAAACATACTGCCAGGTGTGGCAGCCACACATCTTGACCCTAGCACTCTGAGAGCCTGGTAGGTAGAAGACTGAGCTCAAGCCTAGTCCCAGGAGCTTAGCAAAGCCCTGACACAGGAAAACTATAAAGGGCTCAGATATGGCCAGGCACAAAGGCCCTGGGATCCATGCCCAGCACCACCTTTAAAAACAATCAGACAGTAAACTTTACACATTCTATCAGCGTTTTAAAGCAGAGGGGAAAAAATTAAAAAGCACAGGAGACCAAAAACTCACCTCAGCAGGGTGAGCCACATGGAGACCCCAAAGTCCCCTCTCTGAGCTGGGCCCAACAAGTGTTGGTGCAGTGGGCAGCGCCTGCGTGGCCCGACACGCTTCTCGGTGTCACTTGCACTTGGAGCCTCACAGCATGGCATGGCTCCACACTGGGAGCCCAGCCCGGCACCCTTGGGACCCCACCCTGTGCGCTCCAGTACCCATGTCCAGCCACCATGGGACCCAACACAAACAGGCTCAGCAAACCACATCTGCCCTGGGGAGCCTCTCAGGAACCAAGCCTGTGACACCCTTGTTCCTCCTAGCCACCAAGAGGCATCTGCACAGCACAGGGCTGTCCTCGACCAGTCTTACCCACTGTGACTTAGGACACTTGGCAAGTTACACTGCTGTTCCCAGAACAGCGCGAGGATCAAAGTTGTGCACAGCAGCAGTCTGGTTTTCCGTCTGGCCACTGGAGACAACCCAGGCCTTCACACAGCTATACCCAACCAGTGTTAGCCCGAGACCAGGCCAGCTGACCTGGTAGGACCTGAACTCAGAGTCCTCCTGCCTCAGCCTCCCAGAGTGCTGGGAATACCAGTGGGCAGCACCATACCTGGGGCCCTTTTGTTTTGGGGGTTCTGAATATCTCTGATTTGGGAAGCTTTAGTCTCTGGATTCAGGATCTGAAGATACGCAAGACCATTAAGACTACCAGTTTCTCTTGACCCATGTGGTAGCACAAAAAGCACCAGGCTGGACCTGCAGGCTGCCGAGGGTCCTGCTCCAGCATCCAGAAGAGGCAGCCACCTCAACCTGAGACTCAAGCTTCTCTCATGGAGAAGAACTAAGGCCCGGCAAGGGCAGGGAGCACAAGATACCATGGGACACAGGGGAAAGGACTGAGTGAGCTCACCAAAGCTTCGCTTAGCTGGCCTAACCCAGCCACCCAGCCCACACTCACCAGAGGCACCTCGTGTGAGGGTCTTGGGGACAGCCTTGGGGGCAGTGCCGGGGACTGAAGCCTTCCTGGACAGGGGTGCCCGGCCTCCCTTGGCACTGGGCTCGCTGCGGGCACTGGACACCCGGCTGGCCCGATCCACCCCTACCGGGCCCTTGCTTTTCTGCACAGCTGCGGGTGTGGCTTTGGGGCCCATGGGACCAGAACTGGACCGGGCCAAGGGCTTCCGTGGGCGATTAGTGTTAGCAGCAGGCCTGGCAGACGAAGGCGGCAGCACTTCGGGGTCCACCATGCAGAGACCTGGAGGGTCCAGCAGTGGCGGCGGATCTTTGAGAGGTGCTGGCAGTGGGTCTCGAGGCCCCGCGAAGGCGTCCGTGTCATCTTCCGAGTCCACAGCCCCAGGCACAGCGGGTAGGGGTTCTGAGTCCGACAGCGTGGGCAGAGACTCACTGACTGACGCAGGTGGGGTCTCCTCGGGCACTCGCTCCTGGGATCCTGCACTGCTGTCCTGGGAGCTTCCAGGGGACGCGGGCACGGTGGACACTACCTTGCAATGCTCAAACTCACAGGGCGACACGAGGCAGAGGTCCACATCATGCGGGGAGGCCGAGCGCCGTGCCCGGGGTCCGCGCAGGGGGAGGCTTAGCCCAGGGTCACCCGCAGGGCCCGGCGGTGGCAGCCCCTGCTCCAGCGACACAGACAGGGACTCATCCACCTCGGTGGAGTGCGGTGAACCCACCTCAGCGGGCAGAGAGGGCGTAGTGGCAGTGGGTGTGGTGGCAGCAGGTGATGGGTCCCGCAGCGGGCTTAGAGATGGTGGCTGCTCTGAGGACATGGGTGAGTGGGGTCTGGCCACACTGAGGGCACCCTGGAGCTCCAGGCCAAGCTCCTGGGCCCCCACACTCAGCCCTAGCTCTGAGCCAACCCCTGGGCCTGGCATGGCCCCTGCTAAGGGGTCACTGCGGGGCCCGTTCTGCGCTGGTTGTACAGCAGAGACCTTGGGGGCCATCTGGGCACCCACCTTCTTGATGTGAGAGGCAGAGAGGGTTGCTCGGCGCCCGTCCCGGAGCTGGGTCCGAGGCAAGCAGGGCTTGGGGTCCTTCTTCACATCCCGGGGAGGCCCGGCTTCACCTTCCACAGTCCTTCGAGGGGCCTCCTTCCGTGCCACTGTGGGGCGCTCCGAGCCTGGCCTAGCCTTGGCTGTGACCCCAGCCTCCCGCTTGGCGCTGTCCCGGGAGCCCACACTGTCCCTGCTGCCCGTGCGCTGCAGTGCCTGCAGGTCCTGTGGCGTCACCACAGGCTCCCGCAGGAAGCCCAGGTGCTGCAGGCGGCCCAGACCCTCAAGCAGGCGGGCAGGCGGAGTACGGCCTGGGAAAAGTGCACGAACCACTTTCTCAGTAGGGTCAGCAGGGAGCCACACAAGCAGGGCACAGGCTGAGGCAGGAGTGGTGGCAGCCGCGGGTGGGTGCAGCACGTGTAGGTCCAGGCGCCCCACACCCAGCTTCTCCAGCAACACAGTGGGTGCAGCGGGCGGGCTGCGGCGAAGGGGCAGCGGCGTGATGCCCAGCTGTGCCAGGAGCCCGCGAGCCACCTCGGCTTCGTCCTGGCCACCGAGCAGGCGCAACATAGGCTCATGGGCATGGAGAAACACAACACCCAAGCCCGGAGAGGCCAGGCGCCTCGACCCATCCTCCCAGGAAGCCCCAGCCGCCACCTCCTGCCGCTCTGCCACCTTTCGCTGCAAAAGGCTGTTGACGCCTGGGAGGCTGTCAGCACCTGCGTGTGTCACCAGCACAGCGTCCACTCTGTCCACATGGCGCACCAGCTTCCAGAAGGTGGCCTTGGGGTTGGAGCCTCCATTTACCAACACAGTGAAGTCACTGACCGCGAAGAAGGCAGCGTCCCCCAGACCCCCAGGGAAGATGTAGCAACAGGGCGGGTCAAGCTTGAGGAAGTCTCCGGAGGACGGGGGCTCCAGCAGGTCAAAGGGGGATGGAGGCTCCAAGGACCCAGCTAGGTAATCCAGGAGCTCACGTAGCCCAGCAGAGGCCGGCAGCCGCACAGTGGGGTTGAGCCGCAGTCGATGCCCAAGCAAGCCCAGCTCCACAGCACCCAGCTGCGTCCAATCCCCAAAGGGCGGGCAGCCCAGCGTGAGGGTGGATGGCTCAGCTGGGGTCTGAGTGTGGTCCAGGAGGTCCCGGATCTGTGGAGAGATGTGGGAAAGGGGCTCTGCAGCCAGAATGCCAACCCCGTAGGTAGGAACTGCTCTACCCCGCTCCCAACCCAACCTCTACACTGGGGCTGGGACGCCGCTCCCGCCCAGGACCTCTGCTCAGGCTTATCTGCCCCAGCGCCCCTAATCACATTCTGCCTCTCTCATCCACCTGCCCTACCCAGGCCAGCTGCAGCGAGAAGCCAGGAGCCACTTCCAGCCTGAGGGACGCCAGGGTGCAGGCGCAGCCTTGTGCTGCCACAGCTGCTTACAGTACTGATGTCATCCTGTGAACCCTGCCTTCTTTCTTTTGTGCTTTGAATCACATTCTCCATCTCATTAGGCTGCTAAGCTCTCCAGGAGAAACCCAAGTTCATAATCCTCCTGCTCAGCCTCCCAGGGTGTTGGGTCGACAGGTGTGGGCCACCACACTGGCTGTGCCAGGACCTTTCACTACAAGGTAACAGCGGTCCCCCACCTCAGGAGACACAGAAGATGCCACCACAGTACTACCAAGGACAGGGTGCTGGGCCTGCAGCCCCAGGGAGGAGAGGACTCAGCACCTGGGGCAGCTCACCTCCCTGTCCTCCAGGACTTGCAGGAAGTGATGCGATGAGAAGCCTCCCGTCTGGAGCAGCAGCTCCCCGGTCTCCTCCAAGCAAGGCCCAGCCAGCACCAGCAGCTTGTGAGGGGCAGGCACCAGCAGAAGGTTCCGGAGCTGGGGGACAGCACGGAAGGTCCATGCAGTGTACAGCTGGCACTGGTCGATCCCAGCCACACCCAAGGCCAGTGGGTGATGCAGAACTGGGCGCCCACTCACACACAGGGCTCCAGGGTCCTCCCTGTGCTCTCTAGCACCCTACTGCCCTCCAGCCCTGTAGCCCACTCCTGACACAATGGGTGGGCCATCCTGTGCCTGGCTCTGCTCCTCTTCTGGCCTGAAAGCCCCTCCAAGGGAAAGGGCACAGCGCGGAGGGAACCCAGGCAGGATGTTCCAGGGCTCTGTTTCCTCCTCCTGATGTAAAACTGCCAGAAGAGCTGACAACAACCCACAGGACACAATCGGTGCTGGGACCCTGCCCTCCCTCAAGACCTCCAGGGCCCTGGGAAGGAGGCTACACGTAATGGCAAAAACCAACCTCCCACCAAAGAATGGGACAAAGCTGAGGTGGGACCCCAGGGACAGGGCACTGGCACCAGGTATCTGAAGAAAGTCCAAGCAGCAGAGGACAGAACAGGCCAGAGAGACAAGGAGAGCAGCACAGCCCCATGACCGATCCTGCCTACCTCATCACACAGGGACTTGTCCGACGGGTTCAGAAGGACCAGTGTCTCCAGGGCATCTCCACGGTGATGCAGACTCCGCTGGCCTGTGGGGCAGGTAGCCAGTCAGAGCCAGGCTGGCCACAGGCAGCTCCTACTTCCCCATGTGACCCTCAGGCAGCACAAGGTCTCAACGACCTTTCCCTAGGGGTCATGAGGGCAGAGCTGCAGGGCAGAATAAGGGTACCCCCTGAAATTGGAAGCACCTGGGGCACCTGCACCCCAACCTGACTCGCAGCTGGAATCCCGCGGGGTGGGAAGGTCAGGGCCATAGGGCGGGGCCAAGCGCTCAAAATCAAATTCAAACTCAAATTCCGATTGGGTTAAGAGACCCCGCAGCAGCTCTGGCTCTGACTCTGGGCGACCAACGACCCCTCTAATCCAGATACTGCTGCAAACAGCAGGGAAACCAAAACAGGGGAAGTGGCCGCCGAGGTCACGAGGAGCACACAGGATGTCCAGCCCCGTCTCAGCCCCACAAGGGGTCAGGAAGCCACCAGGGCCCACTGGGACAATGAGACCCAGATGGACACTTCCTTTCCCTGCCGGAGCAGTGGGAGCCGGCCCAATGGGCCGCGCAGAACCGGTGCTGGGGCTCCCCAACCCCGCCCAGCACTGTTCACCCATGGTTACCCCAGCATCCCAGCTGGGTGGGTCTCCTGACGTCGCTCTCGGCTCCCCATCTGCCGGAGCCCATGTGCGCGGGCCCTGTTTGGGGTCACGGCTGCTCCCGAGCCGACCGCTAAGCCGGGCGGGGCCGCACTCCAGTTCCCGTTTCCCGCACCGCCCTGGGCCTGGCGCACAGCCCGCACCGTCCTTAAACTTGAGCCCGGGGGCTGCTGCTGGCGCCCGGCCTCACCTTTGACGAGGCTGGAGAAGGTAGCCGAGTGCTGGGACACGAAGGTCTTGAGCTCCTGGTCCAGGCTGCAGACCCCAGGATCCACGTCCCAGGAGCGGATACCTGGGCGAAGACACGGAGGCGGGGTCGGCCGGGCCCCAGCGCCCCCGGCCCCAGCGCCCCCGCCTGCCCTCCGAGCACCTCGCCGCCCAGGCCCCGCGCGGGGACCG